TGATAGATTGTTCATTTTAACTCCGCCTATGTTTATAGCCGGTCCCAAGCCCGGGTAAAGGAGGAGGGTTGTGTTAGGCCATCAACAGCCAATGTAAAAATTTGTTGAATCTATCATGAACATGGACAATAGACGTTATAATGGTAGTGAATGCTGGGCTCTAACGGGATAGCAAGAGCATAAAGTTGGAGTAGCAGAGATGAGAATGTTACGATGGATGTGCGGACATACACGTAAAGATAAAATTCGAAATGAGCACATACGTGAAAAAGTGAGGGTGGCACCTATTGAGAAAAAAATGATAGAAAATCGGTTGAGATGGTTTGGGCATGTACAAAGAAGACCAAGGGAGGCACCAGTGAGAAGAGTGGAACATATAACTTTGAGTCCGATTAAGAGAGGTAGAGGAAGGCCTAAGAGAACACTCTTGAAAGTTGTTGAACGTGATCTCTTAATTAATAATATTTCTAAAAGCTTGATAAATGATAGAGCACAATGGCGTCTTGCAATCTATATAGCCGATCCCACCTAGTGGGATAAAGGTTTGTTGTTGTTGTATAGATTGTTCATTTTACTTTTGTGTACATAGAGAATAACATGATAGCTGACCTTTTTGCCAAGCTAGTTTATAGCCTTTCTAATGATTTAACTCCTTTTGACTTGCCACTTTGTAAATAGTTTGTGGGTGGTGTGCGGTCATTAGTTTGTTTGTTTTTGTTTTTTTGGTCTTTTTGAGGCTGTTGTTTTCTGCCTTGTTTTTATATTTTTTTTGTTTTGTTCCTTGTGAATGCAGTTTCCATGCTTTATTTAAAAAAAAAAAAAATAGAGAGAGAGAGCGCTTCACAATGTTATGTACATAACATTAACAAACACTAGCATTTATCATGTAAAGCTATTATTATCAATTTATTTCCACTAATGTCTTACAAATAATATTTTTATATTTTTGATATTATCCCTTATTATATTACTCATATGATATAACAATTTGTATAAACCACGAAAGTTGCGAACAAGTAATTTTCTTTATATAATATATTATCCTTGAGTTATATGACTAGTGCGACTTTCGTTCTAGTTACTCTTAAATTTCATATTATTATGCATATTATATTTTTTTTTTCCTTTTTGACCTTGTCATGTTGGTTGAAGTTTTTTTTTTTTTTTGTCTAATCATGTCGTTTGAAGTTAGTTAGAAGATTCGGCTAAAGATTGGGCCAAACAAAATAAAGAAAAGCCCGAATAATGAGATGAGATATGAAAAAATTAAGCCTGTGTTAAAGGGTGGAAATGGTCCAGACATCCTTTCCATCCCTGCCCCGGGCCGGATTGAAACTTTCAGACCTTGGACGAAGAAAGAAAGAAAAAAAAAAAAAAAATAAAAAGGTGGCTATTAATTACTCGGGATACATCCAGAGATATTCTATATTATCAGAATTTATCTCTTAGAAAAATTTATAAATAAACTCAATACATTACATCATTTATGATCTATCTAAAAAAATAATATTTAGATGATATTAACTATAAATTAATTTTAATATTAATGATAATAAAAAGATGCGAAAAGTTAAATATGCATTATGTTATAAGAGTAAAATTAATTAAAGAAATATCATACAGAATTTTATTTAAATTACTTAAAACATTTTAATTAAATAAATTATAAATAATGTGACGCACCTAGTTTACCTAAGCATTTCTCCTATTCCTTATACTTGCTAAAAGAAGAAAAGAAGTGAGTGTGATGTAGATACTTAGCTACTCCCTTCATTTTAAAATATAAAAGAAAATAATTAATTGACATAGTTTAAAAAAAGTTGATTAGGTATACTAATTATAATTATGTTAAAAAACTTTAAAACTTAACTATATTATCCCTATAATTAATGAACTAAATTTATTTAGTGAAAATAAATATTAACTTCATGAGATATTAGTTGGAAAAAAAATATAGTAAATGCTTTTTGGAGTTTGTAATTTTACTTAAAAATAAAAAAAAACGAAATAGTATTACTGACCACGAGAGCATGGCGTGAAGGAAAGTTGATGACATGGCTGATGATTAATATGACGTGGATGCTGCCAATGATGTTGATTAGGATGAGGATGAAGTAGCTGATATGACGTCCGTTGTTTTTTAATTCCTCGAATTTCTGAAATAATGGGCGAAAATTATTTTATATATTTAAAGTATGTTTTCAATTAAATTAAGGGAGACAATTTTTTTAAACCAATCTTATCCCATTGCATGGAACTGCAATGTCCTTTCCTTGCTCTTTACAACTCCACCATTGAATACTTTTTTCTCTGAACCGATCTCAGTGCTTCGGAAGCGGGACAACAAACTCATTTGGCAAGGCAACTCTACTGGGTTTTATTCAGTCTCAGATTGCTACAAAAATTTAACTACATATGAGCAACTTGATCTTTTCTGGAAACCTTTTTGGAAAATCAAGATTCCAATGAAATATCTTCTGCTTATGTGGAAATTACTCAACTGGGCAATTCCGGCTTGAGATATTCTCAATCATCACCACCTAAACTCTGAACAACTTTGTGCTTTTGGTTGGATGTTCAGAAGAGAAATCTATTAATCACTTGTTTCTCACATAAGCTATCTGGTTTAGTTCGATCCATTCTACCAATCTTGTTGACGGTGAGTTCTTTAAGAAAATAGAAAAATCTAATCTCTTTCCTCATTCAGAAAGATCAGCACTGAGATCTATTGAACATTTTTGTTTTAATGAGTCTAGTATGGGAAAAATAAACAAGGCGATTCTGCCACGATCACTCGCATTTCCAGAGACAATCATGATAGAAATAGAACAAAAAATCAAATGCTTGTTGATGTTTGATATCTTGATCTGGATCCTGGTTCGAGTAAAACTTCATCCCCTTTTTGTCCCAATCAGCCGCTTCAATGAACACTCGATGATGGTTGGAATTTGTTTTGCATGAAAAGGAAACATAAAGCCAAATCTAATGTTAAAATTTTGGTTTTTTTTCTTTTCTTTTCTTTTTTCTTTTTTGTTCTTGAGGGGGGAGGGGAACAGATGTGGTTCAAGTATTGACCTCTTCCAAGCAGGGACAATTTCATTGGTCACTTGTAATTTGTTTTTATTTTACTAGTAAAAAATGTAAAAATTAGTGTTGGTTACCCATATTCTCAGTAGTTTTTAATTTTTGCCTCTCATGTATTGGCCTATGGATTTGTCCCTGCTTCCAAGGATAGGAGTGCTTTGAGCAGCCATCGAGTCGAATTGGGAACCTCATGTGGATAATTGCCTTTGGCGAGTACTTTTGGGGATCTGCAAATTCTTGAACAACAATAGCATTAAAAATCAAAGTATTCAAATTTCCTGTGCTCCAAAATTATTCTTCCAGTTTTACAGCACAAGAGCTCCAGCTTCAACTGTCTCGGAGGATATTTTAGCATTACTGTCAACTTTTGATTTTGTTACTTTTTCTAGTTTTTTCTAGTTTTCATCCGGGCTTACCTTGTGTTTGGATTTTAATTTATATTTAATAAAATTATAGATATTTTTTAATACAAGGTCACAAAAAAACATACAAAAAAATTAAAATCTAGTTATGTTTAAAGTTAAAGACTTTTATAATCTTGTAATGGTTCATCAAATATCTGAATATTAAAATTATTGCGTATTACTTGATGAGTCAAGAGATAAGCTCTTTATTTGGGAATCCAACTCTTTATTAAATTTGATAAAAATATATTTTAAATATGATTTAAAGGTGTTTTTGAATATTATCCAAACATGTCTTTGAGCAATAAAGGCCCATGGTTTCTTTCTGCGTGTCTCTCCTTTAACTTTTGCACGTATGCTTTTTTTTTTTTTTTTACTTTTATTAAAAAAATGGGGACAAATTTTTTTATAAGATATTTGTTTATTTTATAATAAATTTTAGGGTGAAGGTGCAACTTTAACTCTCAACTATTTTTTCAAAAATATTGAGTACCTTATATTATGAAGTGGCGCGAAATAAATTTTTAACCTAAAAAAATGAAGCATTCAATAGTCTTAGTTAATTTTTATTTAACAGATGTTAACTGCCATGCAGGGCCCACATATTTTCTGACTGAAATGATATTTGGCACTCCATTTCAACAAATAAAAGTGCAAATTTAACCATAAATTATTTTTTAAGAAGCATTTGGTAGCCTCTATTATAAAAAATGGACCACTCAACACCTTCCCATCAATTTTGACTAATCACTATTTATTTTTAAATTTATGAAATCTACAATGTGTTAATTTCTTTAGTTTTCTTACCTTCATTATTAGTTTCAATTTAAGAAGAATAGATTCAAATAGTGCTTATATGAAGATATTCATGAAAACGAGACCAATTTTTAGACTCATGAGGCCCAAAATGAATCAATCTCTTTAATATTTTTATTTTTATTTTCAGTCTCAACTTGAGAAAAAAAGTTCAAAGAGTTCTCAATTAATTCATTTTCTATAAAAATTATTTGATGACTAAATTAATGCGTTGAGACTCTTTGAATTCTTAATATCTTTATATAAAAATTCTTTGAGACACTTTTTCTCAAGCTGAAACTGATGATGAATTAAAAAGATTGAAAAGGTTAACGTGTTGTATGTTTTATAAGTCCAAAATTAAATGACAATTAATCAAACTTAATTGAAAGGTTTTAGATAATAAGTTTTTTTATAGTTGATAATTATTTTTACACTACCCAACAGGAGAAGCTATTTAGTATTTTTTAAAAAATAATTTATGATTAAATTTACACTTTTAGTGATGCAAAACTTGAGTGTTATGTGTTATATTTAATTAAATTTTATGAGTCCCACTTAACATCTGTCAAGTAAAATTAATAATAAATGCTAAATATTTTATTTTTAAAAATTGAGAATTTGTGTTACTCCGTTATAAGTTAGCACTCCTAAAAAAATAATTAAAATTGCACCTTTAGCTTAAATTTTATTATGTCCCTCCTACTGTCCTACCTGAAATTTACCGTAGTCGCTTGCTAGAGCTCTGTTTCGGGACGGCTTGGCTGGCCTCGGGCCTTATTCTTCAGTCATTCCTTTGGTGTTGATGTTAGATTCTTGAACCCTCACAAAGCGCAAGGCTTCAAAGCCTCGTCAGATCTTCTCTCAAATGTCGACGGACGGATTGGAGTCATTCAAGCCCTACACTCTCTCGCAAACCCTAACTAGTCACAAGCGCGCCGTCTCCGCCGTTAAGTTTTCATCCAACGGCCGTCTTCTTGCGTCTTCCTCCGCCGACAAGACCCTCAGAACTTATGGCTTTACCAAATCCGATTCCGATTCCGAAAGCCTCATCCTCTCTCCTATGCAGGAGTATCAGGGCCACGACCAGGGCGTCTCCGATTTGGCCTTTTCGTCCGACTCTCGTTTTCTTGTCTCCGCCTCTGATGACAAGACCCTTCGCTTGTGGGACGTTCCCACGGGCTCGCTCATCAAAACACTCCATGGCCATACTAATTACGTTTTCTGTGTCAACTTCAATCCTCAATCCAACGTCATCGTTTCGGGTTCCTTCGATGAGACTGTTCGGGTCTGGGACGTTAAGTCCGGAAAGTGCTTGAAGGTCCTTCCGGCTCACTCCGATCCCGTTACTGCTGTGGATTTCAATCGGGACGGCTCCCTCATTGTTTCCAGTAGTTATGATGGGCTGTGTAGGATTTGGGATGCCTCAACTGGGCATTGTATGAAAACTTTGATCGATGATGAGAACCCTCCCGTTTCCTTTGTCAAATTTTCGCCCAATGGAAAGTTTATTCTTGTTGGGACTTTGGACAACACTCTGGTACTTCTACTCAGTTTGTTTCTCTATCTCATTCAATTTATATGTTTAGTTTATATCTTATTAGCATTAGTTTGTCGACGACTTTGTATGCTTTTGACTGACTATACGTGTTCTTTATGCGTCGTGGTCCTCTTCATGTTTATTTTTCACCTTATGGGGACATTCATGACATTGATCATGTGCGTATGATAGACTCATTTTGGCTATTTCGAGATTTGGCTTAATAAACTCGTTTATCTCATTTGCTGCAATTTCGACTTGTTAGAATCTCCAAATTTTGTAGATTAGTGTTGACAGACTTATTTAATTTGTAAGCTTTCCTCATCGAAGAAGTTTGTTTCCTTCCTGTGTGTTGAGAAAGTTCCAAAAGCAAGAATCTCTGAGCCAACAGCCATTTCACTCCTAGGCCTAGACCCTAAATTGCTGTAATTTCTGTTTGTTAGAATCTGTTTGATTTGTTGTTTAATGGTAACCAATTAATTTGACTCCGCATGGTTTCGTTATCCTCATAATTTGTTTCCTTCTCCGTTAGAAGAAAGATGTTCTGAGCTAATTATATCTCAATCCCAGATTTCCTCAGTTTGTTTTCCATATTAGATAGTGAAAGAATAAAAAGTGCTAATAATGTGTGTTCTACAAGACGCAACTGAGCTGATTATGCAGTTAATTTTTCTATTTTATAATCCACATTGTGGAGGATCATATACTACTTTGAATCCTGGGTTTGAATTGACCATTATGGTGTAAATTGAGAGATTCGTACTCTGTCTTGCTATATTCACAAGTTTGATGGATTTACTTTCAGAATCCTGGCAGAGCTATTGATAATATTGGTTTTAAAAATGGAGATATGATACCTGACTACTGAATGTACTTGGGAACTTTAATTTTGATCTAGAGTTTTAAATTCAACCTACATTTTGGAATATGTTGGCTGCATATGACATACACTCTTATTTTCTAGCATTGCTGCGTTGTTTTTCATGTTCAGTTTCTCTATTGGAGTCTAGTTTATGCATAAGATATTTATTGCTGAGGTTGCCTTCAGCCATTTGCATAGTTTGTTTGTTTCTTGTTCCTTGACTTAATAGTCAATTTTCTGCCTTGGTTCACTACAACAGAAGCGAACAACTTCTTTATTATTATTTCAGAATTAAGTTAAGTTTTCATTATTGATGTTGCAGAGGCTGTGGAACTACTCAACCGGGAAGTTTCTGAAGACTTACACTGGCCATGTTAATTCAAAATACTGCATTTCCGCTGCATTCTCCATAACAAATGGGAAGTATGTTGTTGGTGGTTCTGAAGACAACTCTATATACTTGTGGGAGCTGCAGTCGAGGAAAGTCGTTCAGACATTGGAAGGTCACTCCGATGCTGTTATATCTGTGTCATGTCACCCTACAGAGAACATGATTGCTTCTGGTGCTCTCGGCACTGATAAAACAGTGAAAATCTGGACTCAACAGAAAAACTGAGTTATTTCGGGTTCTTTTGTGTGTGACGAGGCATGCATGGTTTAGTTAAACTAGAGTTGGGAGGACAAAATAACTCTGTCATCAAACGTCATGCTTGTTTTCTGTAAGAGCCCTTCTATGCAGGAATTTGTAGCCCTAGGAGGTCGCCTTTGTAATTTACAGGGTTTCAGTATGGAGGACGAGGAACTGTTCTAGTAGAGGATATCAATGTGTAATGTCCCTTCAAATTTTAAGATTCAATAGTTTGGATTCAGAGAATGTTTTTGTGCAGTTCGGCTTCTCTGTTATATAATTCCATATTACATCTTCTCTGCTCCCTGTCCTTGACCAGCCCTTGTATAAGTAATCATTGAATGTGAGGGATAAATGAAGTTGAAGAAAATGTGGAAAAATTTATCTGGAGTGTCTGAAACTCAACATGTTACTGGTAGATATAGGTCGTCCTCTTCTCTAGCTCGTAACATTAGGGTGTGTGCTTTCCGTTTAGATGTTCTTGTTTTAGTAGTAGATAGGTGCCCCATGTTTGTTTTATCTTTGTATGTTTTTGCATGGCCACTCAGTATTCTGAGCCTGTCTCACTTGAGTTGTGAAAACTTCATGGGATTCAAACTAATTTAGATCAAGACATGGCAAATACAAAAAGAGTGGGCCCCTCTAAGCGGAAATAACTCTGGCCAACTGACATAAGCATTTGTGGTTCATTTTGTACTACTAGTTCATGTATGTTATGATTTAAAAAAAGAAGCAAAGCTGAGGAAGACCGGAATTGTCACTTCTGCATCATCCTAACGTTGCTTCTTTATGTTGCTGCTCCCACAGCTGTTGAGTTTTAAGATTCAATCAATACTTATAATAACTCCGAACATCTGGTATTCATTGTTCCAAGGAGAATATTGTATCTCATTTGATATGAAGGAAGAGTTTTGATAGAGGTGAAAGTAGAAATGAAAGTGGAGGTAGATTTTAAAAGTATGTTTGGTACGTGGGTGAAAATGAGATGATAATTTTATTTAATATGATGTTTGTATTTTAAAAAGACTAAAATACCTTTGAAATTTGAAAAATAAAACCTGATCACCACCGTGGTCTACCAATCTCAAACTGCCGGTCATGGCTCTTATAGGAGCACAAATCAAATGAAGAATCAAATGTAGAAATCCAAAAGAACACAAGAACGCAAAGAAATCGAAGGCAAGAAGACAAGAACACAAATCGAAGTAAGAAAATCGAAGGCTGGGATTCACGAACCGGAGCCTCTGCTGCTTGATGGCGCCAATGTGCTGATGTCAAATGTTCATACTATCAAAGGAAGAAATTGATGGTGCCTCCTACGCTACTGGAGAATTGTCTTTGCCGTCACTCCCTTTATTGATCCTTCTCCTCTTGCATGAGTATAGCGGCTGTGAGAGCCTGAGTTCTACCATCAAAAGCGATGGTCTTTTATATTGCTTCCCATTGTTGATATTATACTCAACTTATATATTTTCGTGAAGTTTAATGTTCATGTTGTCGTCGTTGATGGAGAATCACCTCCGCCGCTGCCATCGTCACTAGTGGGGGTCAGTCGCAGTGAGTACTCAGTAGGAAAGGAGGAGGAGAAGCTAGGGGCAAAGTGGTCCAATGGAGATATGGTACCCACTTCTACTGTTTTTGATAGAACTGAGTTTTATAAAAAACTGGCTTCTAATGTACCAAACACACAAAATATTGATTTCACTTTCACTTCTACTTTCACTTTTTTCTCTCTATTTTCATGCTATCAAACGAGCCATTTGTAATTCTCCGCTATTAGAATATGAAAATCCTTGTTAATAATAGTAATAATAAAGTTTGGTATGATTGAGTTGGATATTATCATTCTAATTCAAGAATAATTTGCATCCGCATCTTTGTTTTATGCTATCCCTGCTCTTATAATCTCTTCGGTACCATTCCCCATTCATTTGATTTGATTATATTATTATATATGAGTTAACTTAAAAGTAATACTCTTTCTGTTTAAAAATATAAGGTATTTATTAAGAAGTTAAATGTTTAAAAATGTAAAACATTTTTAATCTTTCGATGTGTAATCATTATTTTTTTTAAAATATCCCTATTAATAATGACTTTATATTTATTATAAGATATTCAATAGAAGTAAATATAAAAAGATAGAGATAGTTGAAAAGTAGGTAACTACTTTATTAGGGGTGAGATTCGATTAAAGATGCCTTATATTTTTAAATAGAGTGAATATAATTATTTTTGTATCATTCCTCAATCCTATTTAATATTTTTATTAGAGATTTTGTTACAAATAAATAAATGAGCCACTTAAATCCTGTGACTAGTGGAATAATTAATAAAATGTATAAATTAGGGCTTGTTGTTCCTCGAACTTGAGATATCATTTTCAATTTTTTAACTAAATTATATATTATTTTTCTAAACTTTAAACCATATACACATAACTTTCTTAACTTTTGAAATTTTACAATAAACCCTCTAAACTTATGTTTATGTAGATAAATTTATATAATTAATTTTATATATTAATTATTTATACATAATTTAAAGTTTAGGAGATTGTCTGTATATTAATTAAAATTTGAGGGCTTGAGTGTACATAAAAATAAAGTTTAAGAAAGTATATAATTAATAATTTGAGGTTATTTGCATAAATTTAAAAGTTCAAGAAGGTTTATTATTAAGTTTTAAATGTTAAGAGGATTATTTGTATATGATTTAAAATTTAAGAAATTGGATTCTTTTGTTTTTTAATAATAACAATTGCTGGTCGTCAAGAACTCAGGATTGGAGTTTGGAGGGCCTAAAAAATAGTCAATTTCCAAAAGCCAGATGTCAAGCAGGGCTCATTTGTTGTATTAATTATAATGTATAACACATGGTTCCTGTCACAATTCTGAACGACCATTTTCTCATCACCAATATCAAAATTTAGATTATAAAATTTAAGAAAAATTATATCCTATAATTTTAACATGTTTTAATATAGGTTATTATAGTTTTTTTTTTTTTTGTCGTTCCAAGTTCCTTTAATTTGTCCTGTATGTAACATTAGTTTCTCTAGTCTTAAATATGCCCAAAAGGACAATAAGATGACACTCATAGTTTTAAATATGTTGAATTATTACTAATGTTATTAATTTGTGCTGAATGAAATTATGATTCAGCATATGAACAGCATTTTCTACCCTATTTTGTTTTATGTTTCAAATTTTAATCTGTTAAAAAGTAATTCCACTTTTTTTTCTAATATCAACCACTATCAGCTTAGTGCCAGTTCATTCTTTTCTGCAAAATATTAAATAGAGAAACTAATTTTTTTTTTAATACAAAGCCATAGAGTAGAAAGACTAATGTACATAGGATAAACTAGAGGGACTTGAAATAATCAAAAAAAAAAATTATAAAAACTTATATCAAAATACATTAAAATTATAGAGATCAGTACTTGCGTTTGTGTTTTCCCAAATACCTAATTTTCCTTTTATGCAGTGGAAAATTAATAATTGTGTTGGAGAAATCGTGTCCCGGTGTCCCTAGCAATTAGCAAAACAAGTTGAATTTAAGATTGGTAATGGAATTAGGAAGGATAAATACTATAGTATTTGTGCCTGTTTCTTTTTATTTTTATTTTTATTATTTTACATTTTATAGAAACTATATATACTTAAAAAATATTCATTATTTGTATATATTACTAAGTTAAAAAATTATTTTGAAATTTTGAAAATAATTTAAAAAACTAAAATCATATAAATATCAATAGTGGTTTTAAAAACAAGTTATTGTGTGAAATATAATAACATATTAAGAAATAAAATATTATAATATGATTATTGCTTACAAACAAATTAAAATTTTTAGATAGAGATACATTCGAGTAGTACAAGACTTAATCAGTTGACCCTAGCCCTAGGGCTGTGCAAAAGTCTCGTGGTCTCATTTGGTCCGGTCTGACCCATGAAAATCCGGTCCTGTCCAGTCCTATAAAATGCTGGTCCTATAGGACCAAAAAGACCAAAAAGACAGGACTAATTTTTCGGGTAAGACCAAACTAGAGACTAAGCATCTGGACTAAGTGGTCTGGTTTGGTCCTATATAATTATTTTAATATAATTAAAATTAATTTATAAACTATTAATTAATAAGCCTTAGAAAAAAAAGTTTTAATCCTGCCTCGCACTTTGCACTTTGATCAGAAAAAAAACCTCAACACTGTTACTCAACAGCACTTAGCGTCTCAGCCACTCACTCAACTTTGCTCTCATTCTCAATTTCTTTCGTGCGCCAAAGCCTTAGCCCCTGCCTTGTACTGTGCACTCTGATCTTGATCTTTTTGAACTTTGAAGGAACATGTATGTGGGCTGATTTTTATTACTTCTGTTCTTGCTGATTTTTTTCTCTGGTTTATTTTCGGTCTTTCCTCTGATTTTTTATTGAAGTTATGTATTTAAATCATTTGGAGTTTGGACTGTAACTAAAATATTATTTTCTTGGTGTTAGAAATTATTATGGATTTCTTATGATTATAAGTGTTTTTATTATCTTAATTGAGTTTGTTAAGTTGAAATAGATTATTGGTCATTATAGAGAAAAAAAAAAGAAAAAAAACCAAGTGAGTATTGAACTAACAGGACTAGTCTCCCAGTCCTATGGACCAAGTCCAGTCTTGTTAATCTTCGAGTTTTCACAAGACCAGACCGGATTACGGGTTACCTAACTCAGTCCTTTTCATGAAAAGGACCAGACTCCGGGTTAGGCTAAAGTCTAGTCTCGTCCAGTCTTTTATGCAGCCCTACCTAGCCCACAGCTCAGCTTGAAGAACCTAAATGGCTGGGGCTAAGCTGGGTTGGGTATACTAGGCCATTAAACATCTTGTAAAATTCTGGCTCCTAATATTCTTGGCCCAACGATATAATTACTATTTTTTTTTCGTCTTCCCAGATGAGAAATTCAAGTTACTGAGGTCTCAGTTCTAACTAACTATCTTTATGAAAATTTCTCTATCTCTTAAATTACCATCAAAATTAATGACGAGATGAATCTTTAGTGGTTGAATAGTGAAAAGAAACACCATGTTGTAATGTATTTTTTTTTCCGAGTAAGAACATGATGCAATGTATGCTGTAATACCTTACAACAACAACAACAATATATTTGTTATTGACTTATTGTCAACACACAAGGTAGATCGGCGTGCGCGGGAGTAATGAGAAACTCATAAGGGCAATGGATAGTTGGGTTCCAGCAATCCATAGGCCAAGGATCTTCCATTGAAGCTGAATTAAAAGGCATTAGAT